TGTCAGTATGAAACTCGAGGTCATCGTCTTGCTCAACCGTTGCAGTTCATACCAGATGGAACTCGTACTTCTCAATTATCCCCTTGATCCTGATACGATACTTGGAAAGGTGATCCTTTTGATGCATGTGAGGCTGTGAGCATCGATGGCCAGCGCATATACCAAAGGTATCAAGTCATTGACTTCTCTGTGATTAGCCTTCCTCCGTGGACGGCGCTTGCACTTGCAGAACCGTGCCCCAACTGCAAGAGAGAGGCCACCGATAACTGTGAACAGAGTTAGACAGGCACAGCCACCCGAAAGGACTGTGCTTTGAGCGACTTCCTGTGTCATGAACGGGAGAAGTTTCTTCCAGACGACACTGCCGAGAAGGATGTCAATCTCACCCACTCTTGCCTCTGGTATACCGAAGCAACCATGCGCAATTCTTTGACCAAGGCATCTCGAGACAGTCGGCGTCGCGACAATTGTGCCTACTCTAAGGATAGAGGCGGCGGCCACGGCCATACCGAGAAGTCTCAGTATCCTCTCAAAAGTCTGGTCAATCTTGACTTCGATGTCCGGGACTTGGGCTGCGCACAACGCCTCGATAAAACAACGTCATGAAATGAAGACATGTCCATACGAAACAGACCTTTAATAGAGTCTTCGTCATCTGGAAATACGCGAGGGCGATCAGAGAGAGATCAAGGTGCTTCGAAACGAGGAACCACGTACCTCTGGACACGAATGCAAACTCCACACGCAACTTGGGCCAAAGTTATCTTGTCTCCAGTCTTCATCCGTTTTAAAACATTTCTTGAACACAACCTGTCTCTCCGCTGATGGCGAAGTCTCATTAAATTGTATCGAGGTGGTGTTTAGCCGCGTCTAAATGCACTTTCGTGCCTTTGCGGTAGAAAATACGTATCTTTCTTCGTGCCAATGATGATGATGGGGACCAAAGGTGTGGAAACCACCGCTTCCAGCACACAAGCCAGGGCGGTCTGAATAGGGCGAACAGTATTCAGATAGACACAAGTTGTGGTACATCAAACGCTCAGCTCATGCAATGGAAATCCCTTCGCGAATTGATGACACATCGCATGCCATATCGCGTGAAGATTCTCCTCGACCTGTGTCTGGCCTGATCGTTTTGCGAGAAGCTCCTTGAACACATTCACTTCTCTGAGATTGCCGGCCTGAGACCCCTCAGAATTGACCTGCGACAACGCACACTGCGTACCGTGGAGAGATAACATGATTTAATTTGCCAAAGTTATGACAGGGGCACGGCGACTTCAAAGAGCGCAAAAACGTCTCGAGTGCCATCCAGAGGGGTTCAGGGCCAAGTCTTGATCGTTTAGTTCGTGGTGTCACCGATAAAGAATACCCAATACCAAGCTCCCAAAGTCCAAGTCTGCAGCGACGACAGCGGGCTTGTCTATATAAGCTCCTCAGGATGTCATGCCCATTTCATTTATACGTAGCAACACCAGCCAACTCATATATCGAATCTGCAAAAGATCCAAGATGATCCGACAATGATAACCTCAAGATTGCCATACATCTATTCATCGCGCTCTGAATCCCCGGTTTTGTCCAAAAAAGAACAATTCTTGACATTCAGGCCGACACCTCACCCTTTCCCGAGCGACGAGCTTCGATCGCTGGGTTCTCTCGTGTGCTGCGAAAAAACCCAGGCCTGCAGTCGGTCTTTCGCGGCAAACAAAAACAGCGGTCCATACCAGGAGAGAAGTAACAAGGAAATCTTCCGAATAAACAATAGGTTGTCGTATCTTAAGTTCTCTTGACGTCCGGAGGGGAGGGGGGAGGAGGAGAGAGACTTGCCTGAAGGTTGACGGCAGCTTATTTTTTCAGCGGTGCCTGTAAAATTGTTAACTGCCTCAAGGTGGTGTTTTGTAACTTGCAGCATGAAGTATTCTCACGCCATGTATACCTGACTCTGTAAAACCCCTAGTCATGGAAGTGGTGATGAGACTTCTATCTCGCCTTCTGGCTGTCGACCTCTCGTGTTCGATTTCGATTGGCATTCTTCATTTTGACGGACAGTCATCAGATGTCAGAGAAGCACATTATTATCTACGAATTCAACAGGAATTCTCCATGTCGGTCCGAACAAGGCTCTCCATAGGTGTCGTCCCAGATCTGTATCGGTTATAAGGCCGACAAATGTACAGAATTCCGGGCGTGCAAGCGTCCGCCTTTGACCCATGGCTCAGCTCATCGCTCTGGTTCTCTTCTACTTAGCCACAGAAGATGGTCCGATGGTAATATGAAATAAGACGTGATTTTCATTTATTGACAATCCCCAACTAACAGGACGATAAGTGGAATGCTATCGATCTATCGCTGTAATTCACTCAATCGTTGTTTTATCGACGTTTGCAGATTCCGACTCTGTTCGGTGGCGATCCACTGAGCGGCGATGTGTTGGTTGCGCCACTCTAAAAGCCACTCCTCGCTTCCTTAACCTGCACGCTGGAGTACATTAATAGCGTTATGGATGCCCCGATACAGCTCATCTGTCCTTTCTTGAAGCGCTTTGTCTCGCTCAAGCAAAGCTTGCAATTTCCCCACGTTCCTACTCTTCTCGTTATCGGCCTTGGCATCTTTGTCCATGATGTAGGGATTGGTTCGCTTCAGCTGATCAGATCCCTTGTTTACTCGTATCTTAGACGTAGGACTTCGATTGTGATATTGCCAGTGTGTATCGGCTGTGCGCGAGAAACTGCTAGATTTCTTAAATAAAACAAGGAGCCAAGGTCATCGCCATGTGGCAAATCAAAAACAAGGTATGTCGCACCTGCGTCAATGGAAGAAGGTCAGAGAAACAGGTCCAGACTTTATGACTGCGCAAGTATCATTGGCCGGCTCCTCTCTGTATAAGGCTGAAGCCCGCGCGTTCGGCTGTGAATCTAGAGGAGTGATCAAGATGATTGAGAAGGATTGTTTCTGTATAGAAGGCAGCTTTTTTGGCAAACAGGCTGGGGGCATTGTACTTTGCTTTTACAGTGCGGGCGCAGACCATTGACAGCCAACTAGTTGTTGTACTGGGCTTGTCAGATTTGTACACATCTCTCCCTACTCGTCGCAAAACCAATACGCTCTTCCCCCAAGCAGGATACGAGATTCAGCAATGCTCAATGCTGCGGAGTTGCATCGTTCAAATCGCTCTGTTAGTTGCGTTAGCTTGGTTATCTAACAATATCCATATCCTTGCTCCCTTCACCGTGGCTGGGCAAACGATTGCTCCTGAAGGTGTGGGGAACCTCGCTCTCACCTCGTCCCACCTAGACTTGTATTTAACGAACGGCTTTATCACACAGAAGCAAAGGTCCATGCGGTCGTTGAGCGACGTGAATACTTGGTCCATAGGGGTAAGTTTAAACTCCCTACCAGGTAGCGCGGTTGTGGCCAGGTAGAGCAGTGACTCTCAATGGCCAGATTTATGTTCGACGTCCACAAGAATCTCGAAAGTAATGCTGCTGACGTAATCCCGAGAAGCACGGGCGAGGATACCTGACAATGAGGTTAAACTTTGGTCTGATACCGCAGTAGGCGTCATTGACGCGTGGAGATCTCGTCCAAATCTCTTCAGCCATCTGATGATAGATATGATAGCCTGAGAAAGACAAAAGGCGAGCTCAGAATGGTGTCCGACCCAGCGTCTCGCTTTGAGAATCGTCTTAGAAGTCTTGTTGAACCTGCTTGCAGCGCCGTCTTTGGGCCCCGGCTCCAGGCCTACCGTGTGAAGGGGCAAGGCTTGGCGTGCTTTGCAACGTCCTGGCAGCGCTAACTGAATGACGCCGGCACTTCCTGCGCCTATTACTGACCCATTACTCATTCATGTCATTGGCCCACCTTCCCACGAGTAAGTTTATACCGAAGTAAGTCTATATCGCCTTACCCTTGATAATTTTAGGGGGTGATACTCCGTAGTCCATCCACAATCTCTCGTCGAACGGGATGTTTACCCTGTCCATTCCTTAGATGCACCAGGCTCAGATAGAGGTCGATCCCACGAAGCCAGCCACCTCCCTCTCGTTGAATGGTTGGCATCCTTCAGAGAAGTTCCCAGGCATCACGCCCAGTCCCGAAATTTTCACTGCGGGCCAGCCTCGAATGCTGGCTCTGCAGAAGAGGCGATGAGAGGTTACTCTTGACACCTCGACCATTGGCGAAGGGACCACTCGCTCCAGTGACGGCGAGGGCAGGAAGTCGCTGAGATTTACAACCATCACTCTCCGTCATGGCACCCATCGATCGCAAAAGGGGGCATCCCTGCTCACAGCCCAGGACACATCAATGGAAAGTTCCGCTAGCTTTCTTGCCATTCAGCTCCTCGCCAAAACCGCCTTGCCAGGCTGTTCAGTCAGGCAGCAGGTCAACTTCAGCCAATCACGCATGTTCATACTAACTCAACCGAACTGACATTGTGCAGGCCAATGAAATCATCGGCTTTGCCGCTGTGCTATGCCCTGTAGCACTCTGTCGCATGTTTTTTACTGTCGCTTACCATTGATCTCTCCCTTTTTTTTTTGGCGACTTCTAGCGCCCTTCTCTTCCCCCCACCTGGACAGGTTTCAGAAAATTGAGGCTGAAGTTCAAACTTTTGAGATTGAAAATAGCCCAACATCAACGCCCGATATCACACACACACCATCATCTTTGCACTTGTCTTGAGTAGCATTCATATTGGTTCGTATGGTGGACGACAACAATTAGTGTGCAGTGGAGACGCCGTTTCAGATGGAAGCCCACAAGAGCCGATATATCATCATAAACCGGTCAGATTCCCCTTGAACCTAGCATGTCGCAAATGAAAGCCTCATTTTCACAACAATTATTCAGTGAGGACTGTTTCAACTTTATTCCAAGACTTGGTCTGCATTTTCAGTCTCAATTTTGACTTCCGCGTGCAATCCTCACCGGCAACGACCACGGCCACATCTCGCGCTCAACATCCCACTCGGCTGACGTCTGCACCTAGTCAAGTCATGGATCTCATGCTCGTTGGCATGGGAGGGCATATCCAGACATTGCCCTCAGGCGAATTCACTACGAATTTGCTGATCCTTTCTCAAGATTCCTCCCTACCAGAATCTCGACTCTCCCAAGACGGACTTAGTACTCCGACTGGTGTCGACACCGCGGCCGAGACACCGAACAGCTCTCAAAAGGCTGACGCTGATTCTGATAATACCTGTCGCTCTGATCACGATCTAGATCGAGCCGCCGACATCGCTTTATCCCATTGTTTGGTGTTGATCTTGACCAGCTCGGCTGTTCCATTCGTATGATTGATACGTCCACCAAGCGCAACGATCAGAGCGCCGAGGTTCTGCATGAAGAGGGATTATTTTCAAGTATTGACTGGGATGACGACGGGTTTTCCTGCTATGATGTTGAATACGGCCATGCTAGTAACGGCAGTTCGGTCTTTGATGACACCTTGATTTTGAAGCTCAACAATCAGAGTCAAGGGCAATGAAGTGACCAGCCGAAGAACAAAGTGTAGGCGACGGCGAGGAATCAATCGACCAGGATTTGCTTAAGATCAGGGGCCAGCATGAGGAGGCCGCAGTATGAGACGAGCAATCGGGTGTCTAGAAGATTACAGCTGCCCGTCTGGAAAACGCAGCCCCCAAAGACTAGATGCTCGTTGATTTAATCCCTTTACCAAATATTCTCACAAAAATATGGCGAGAATGAAATAGGTTTCCGATGCTTTGTCATACTCCCACAACTGAAACAATACACGGATGTTTTCTCCCAATCCACTATGTATCTTTGACCTGGGGCAAGAGAAGATGAGGCGGGTCAAGCTTTTGATGACACAGCATTACCAACAATGGGTTCGGAAAGTTTGCGGATAGGCCCTTTAATCTATCTGACGGCCGGCTATGATAAATTAACTGCTTGTTGGTGGCAGCATTGTACTTGAGTGACTAACTTTCTCTCCTGTCATTCTTGAAGGACTGGAAAGCCAAGGTGTCTGCTCAAAGATAACCTTTAGATAGTGCAGCAGTGGTCGCCCACTAATCGCAAAGAAGTCTACAGCTAAGAACGATTCATGAACACCCGTTGCTGCCTTGTCATTCTGGCGTCGCCGGCAGGGAGATAAAGGCATCATCTTAAGTTGCCGATGATGGCCCCAAAACCGTTACTTTGATCACACCTTACTTGAAGAGTCACGCGTCTGTATTGGAATACTTTCTGAAGTCCAGTGAAATATGGGCTTTCCGTAGTGACGTGTTCTGCATGGTTAGCGCTAACATCAAATGATGGATTTGGGAGATTCCTGACACCGACATGTTTCCTCGCTTCTTCGACTTTGGCCTGCTGTGTTTCGGATTTTCGAAGGACATGATGTTGTATGGCGACTCAGACGACATCAAGATAGCCTCATGAGTTCTTTCTGCCCGAATCGTTTGCCGCTGAGCTGCTCTGACCGTGGCTACGGATTTTCGGTGATGAAATCAAGGAAAAGACTTTCGAGCCGCCATCGTCGACGTCTCTAGGGAAATTGGCTGGTTATAGATCAAAGAAGAGTTTGACCGCGTCTCGGTACTATTACGTCGGTGTTTCTGTTACGAAGCAGTTACGTTAGACGCTTATACTGATGTAATGAACGCCACTTTTAATCACATGGTTATTGGACTGAGTGCGTCGCATTATATATCTTCCGATTTGCCACAATTGATGGCGGATTTGGACGTACATTGGACAGCCGACCGTGTTCTTGGCTCTAAGTTAGTTCCATCAAGTAAACACCACAGATCGTTTAAAACTGAACACAACTATGCGGTAGAAATATCGAACTTGTCATGATGCTGTTGTCACTGCATACGCTATGTAGGTCTCTTGAAGCTCTCACAAACAAGAAGTTCCTAGAATCTGGGTTATAGAGTCTGAGCTGTAATGAATTACTGAGCTTATTGAAGGTTGTATATGCCGAGAAGAAAAACCAACTCGGATACAACGTCAAAATATGCTTGAGTGATCCGAAACGCCCGTGTACTGATATAGAATGACCGATACAACTTTCACAGTTAGCTCACCACTTTATTTGCCTTACAAATTGAGTTTTGAACTGTGTTTAAGTCGAGAGATCTGACGCTGCTGGGTCAATGCCGAGACTCGCGACGATGAACATATAGCAACATCAAATGCCGCTAGCAACCCAAAAAGAATGCTATGGCACCGAATAACATCAAAGCGCACGCCTCATTGCGTGCCTACTGTGACTGTTGGTGGCGCTACCGCTCAGTTGCCCTAAGACTCAATTTGCATTCATGGCTCAACAATATCGTTAAGAGGAGTATCTTCTACAGGAACAACTAATCACTTGATACTCAGCTACCATCTAGACCGCCGATCACCTACAGGCAGACCGTTTGGCAGGCACTGGTTGATGGTTATGACAGAGTGGTGAGATACAGCATTCCGGCTTTCAAGAAAGGTGCTTGTTCTTCGCACAGTAACCCCAAATCAGAGCATCGAGTACATGATGGCTTCCTCTTGTCGCACTGCTCATTCCCGCCAAGCAGGCACTGAAAGCAAGCCTTTCGGTGCATTAGCAAAATATTTTTTTGATGGAACGATGCCTTGCTCACCGATGGAAGTTGCCCATCAAAGCATCCCGGGGCATTGCAGATACTGTCACCATCTGCGGAGGTGCTCATATGCGTCATTACGCCGACGGATCTACCCGCACCCAGATCTGTGGTATCTTCACCACGACGTTTTTTCCTCCGTGCGACCAAAAAATTGTTCGGCTCGCAAATGGCTTGATGAAATTTGCCGCTGGAGGGAAACGTCTGTTTGTGGTAAACGCTTGTTGATAAAACTTTATGGGCGAATTGGGATGAAAGGTGCCATTTTGACCGCTCATCCAACGTTTGAACGAAAGCCTTCCGTCATTAGCTTCTGGACCAAAGAAAGGCGCTCACCAGTCAAGTCATCATGAGAGGTGTCGCCGAAAAAAAAAAGAAAAAGGAAAAAAAGACTCTCGCTGGACGTAATCGCTGCGTAGATGTACGCAATCTTGTGACGCACCTTATTAGTGCTGAGATTGTAGCGAATTGTTGACGGAGATGGAGTTGTATCTTCCTCAGTGTTGTGTCGAATCCACTGATAGATCTCTTGTAAAGTCATTGAACGGTTGTCACGACTCAAGAGAGCGCAATGGATTAGTTTGTAGCAAGGTTGTCTATCGCTTGTCTCCGCCGAAGCTGGCGCGGTCATTTTACCGGTTGGTTGTTGGTTAGAGTGAAAATCGCCGATCAAGCTTCCATTGCTTCTGAAAAAGATTTGAATAGCTGGTGTGCACCTGACGTGCGTAGCGGAGGCTCAAGCATCACTCGACATTTCTGGTAGATTTATCGAGGAATTAAGTGGTACCCCGAGCTGCAAGCGCGCGATTCTCACGGGCAATCAAATTGAGAAGCCTTGTTGTTATTTCGGGCGCTGTCTGTATAGTCAAAATCTCCACTTATCACTTGTTGATGGGGTAGGAGATAGTAACGAAGAACAAAAAGAAAAAACAACAAAAAACGAGAGCATAACGACAGAAAGTGAGGAGTCCGCGATAGCGACCAATAACCCGTGTTGTCTCGACTCTCGGGCCCATGTGTGAGACTTTAGGTTTCAATCTTTGGTAGCAAACCCCCAACATAGTCAAATAGGAATCCATGTCTTTACTCAGATTGCAACGGCCTCTTGTCTTGCTATCTGCTGCTTATCCTGAAGGAAATGCCCTGTAGTATCCGCTTAACAGCGCCTCATGATCTCCGGTTGGCCGACCGGAGTCTCGAAAAACAAGAAGATATTTTTTACCAACAATCGTTCCTGGTCTGCGGCCCGAACACCGAACGTTCCACAAACCCAACGCCTAAGCTCCACTCATTTGGTGCGTGGTTGATATGTAATTGGTTATATTGCACGAATCTCCTGAAGCTACAGCAATGAAAATCGACTGCGTGTTATGACGGTTACTAGCGTGAGCGACTTCACTTGTAATGGTGGTCCTAACTAATCTCCCGACGTTATACCTGAAGCTAGATATTCTTTCGACATTGGCTTGCTCCTGGGAAGTCCGACTCGAAGGAGTCGTTGACATATTATGTCCGTTATTAGCGAGACATGACGTAACTATATCAGGTTCTGGCCGTAAAGCACCCTAGAGACGAGCGACATGAGGCAAGGGTCACATTCAAATGTTGGAGTGCGATGACAAAGACAGCTTGATACCACTATCAGTTAGAATTTGCCCAAAAGTAGTTCCTGATGACCAAGCATGACATCAAATGCGTCGGCGGGCAATGGGACCGCGGCGTCCGTGAGGAGGTTGCGAGATATTTAAATGAGCGCATCTCAATGTAAACTCACACCGCCATGGAAGAGCTCCTCCGTACTTGCGTTGTATCCCTTCTCATTTCGCTACTGATCAACCTTCCAAATTATGCTCGTCTCCGACGGCGCAGCGTCTTAATTACCTCACTGGTAAGGGCGGTGTCCGACTGGCACCAGACAGTCGCCCACCTCAGTGGCCAGCTAAACTCAGTCGAGGCGTCTCATCGCAGCCCAAAGCGCCGACAGGACATTCTATCAACCAGGAGGAAGCTGCCACCGCGACAATGTAGGCACCGTTGATGTAATTGCGCAACTACAAACTTAGAGAAGTGAAGCTCCATGCTACGAATTGGCAGTGACACAAGCGATGTTTTGCGAGGGTCGAGCAGTTTTTGGAGTTAGGAACATTTCTGTTTTTGTGAAGGCTGTTTGATGGGTGAAATCAAGCCGCTGGCTATAAAAGCTTTAGGTCTATGAACATAAGCTGACTTCACATGATAATATATGTAGCTGTATTCACGTTCAAGTATGATGCAAGTCGGCCTATTGGCAATATTATACACTGGTATTCATGATTGCACATGGACACTGAAAAGATCAGAGCATAGTGGCAGGTATCGCTCTGGTATGTTGTGATGAGCTTCAGACTAGCCCGGATCATACAAACTACTAAATGCATTGGAATTAGCAAGTCCTGACTATGTAGGCTGAGGCATCAATAAATACCGCGTAAACGTTAGCTCCGAGCCGAGCTGGCTTAAAAGTCAATCTTTCCTCTTCGCTCTCTTGATTTTTCCTTTTTGATTTTCTGTATCTGTGCCTCCATTGAACTAAGGCATTGAGGGTATTGAAGAATCTTTGTGGAACGTGTCGCGGTACTCGAGACCACACAGTTCTCAGAAACTACTTCGTCAAAGACTTCGTCATCGCGAACTAGGCTATATCCTTTGCAACCTACCACGAACATAGCTATGGTAGCTAATAACTCGAATGAGGCGGTCTCGTGACACAAAGCACAGACTGTCATTCTCGAAATGATGACCAAAGAAGACACGATAGGCAAGAGATGCGCTACTATGTCATTGCTTAGGTTTGGTTGGTCTTCTGTGACTTGAAACACACTTGGAGAGCCTATTCTTACGAGATAACGCATTCGCTGCCTCGGGGAAGACCGGTAAGCTGATCGAAATTCATCAACATAGGATTCATAGTTAACTAGCATTACTATCATATGAGCACCCTGTACTGTAATACGCCGATGCCAAATGGGCTGAGGAACGTAATTGATAAGTGTCACTAGACGATTAAATTCAAGTATTCCCAGATAGAGCGCGCTTCGTCGCGAAAGAGGACTATTTGTAAATGATCATTCACCTTGACCCCATTCACGGTACTGATGCCGCGATGCCGTCACAAAGAACCACCATATCGTAATGGGCCGTTGAGACTAAGCAACAAAATTATGTGAGCAGGGCGGGAAAGCACCGATCATCTCGATGAGAAATGGCTTATATCGCTGTAAGCCTACCTCCTGGAGTAAGTTGTACATGACCCCGCCCATACACTCTTCTGTCGTAGTTTCCGGAAAATGGCGTCTTCACTCGATCGCGAGATTGCTGAATTGATCGAGTCGCTTGACGAAGACTCACAAACTACTACTGTTCATAGACTCCGTAAGTCCTTTCAAAACTCAAAAAACATTCTATTGCGTTGCGTAGGCTCCAAATCGAGCCCAGAACTTGTGCGTATTGCTCAGACGGAGGTGCAAGCCTTGTCTCGCTGGTTAGGCGACATCAAGGCACTGCAGTCATCTTCATTCATTGCCCAAGGTTCTCGTCCTACGTCATGGAAATACGTCGATCATCAAGACGAGCTTCTTTGCATATGGGGGCTTGAACTGTACGAAGGCGCCGTAGGAGTTGCCGCCATCTTGGATGTACCTGTGCAAACTATCGGGTGGAAGACGGTATCTCGATTGCCTTCCGCCCAATCGGCTTATAGGCAGGACAAAGGCAAGGAAGACTCTCATACAAGTAACGTGGACATTGCCGATATCGAGGCCGATGATGGGTCCGTTGATGATTCCCATCACAACGGCACCTTGGGTCGATTTGAGCCTCTGTATGGCCAATGGTATTGTTGATGGAGAGGTCAACCTGCCTGTCGAGTTGAAGTTTCTTCTGGTTTCTACACGACTGATTACTATCAATTCTATGAATGTGGCGAAACCTCGCATTGGTTTCCAGAGATGAATTTAGTGAATAGTCAGAAAAGAATCCCAGCTTATTAGAAACGAATTTTCCGCGTCTTTCGAAGAAACGCATATACCTTTGCCGTGCCCCCGTCGATCCGGGTCTCCATAGCGTCATAACATCCATATGTACTTTCAGCTACAATCAGGCCAACGAGACCAGTGCAAATTCACCCCATCAATCGAAAATGGAATTCTGCGGTTGTGCGATAATAGTTGACACTGTGGTGCTTGCTAACATCAATAGTGCGTTAGGACAACTTCCCTCTCGCCTAATTTTTCTTGGCATCTGCTGTTAGTGAATGAGTGAGCCTACCACCAAATTACTAACAGCCGAAAACTCTTCACCTCCCCTTGCCGGAGCCCGCATCCGCGATGGCCTCACAGCCGCCGTCGGGCACCGGACTGATGTCGGCCGACCAAGCCGACCCCGAACCAGGCTCCGGGACACCTCCGGAGCCGAACCCCACCTCAAGAGCTAAGCGACGCCGCGACGTCGAGGCACAGCCGACCCGGCCCAGCCTAACGGGAAGCCAGCTTGATGCCACCACCGACGCCCCTACCTCGGCCGAGGGGCCCGCAGCCTCTACCGCATCTGCTCCGAGCGGATCTGCCACAGGGTCCGTCTTGACAGCCCTTGCAGAAGAAGCTAGACAGTACGAGGCACGGAAAGACGTCTTTCTGACCATTGCACGGTCCGTCGACAGCGTTGTCGCCAGCTTTGACGGTTCTAGAAAGCAGATCGCGAAAGAAGCCACTGCCTATGTCATTCAAACCCTCAAGAGACTGATCAATCACGAGACAAGCCCAATAGCGGCCCGGAGTTGGGCGGCTGTCGTCGCACCGATGGCGGGCAACACCACTGCGGCGACCCGGAGCGGCCAGAGCTGCCAGAGCTCTGCCCGCCCGAAGGCCACACTCCCCGCCGAGGATCAGCCGCAGGCGCAGCCGAAGGAGGACCTCCGCATCTTTGCCCGCGTCCCGGAAGAAAGCTTAGCGGCCGCTCGGAAGATCGCACCGTTCGCCGTACGACAGATCGTCTGTAAGGCCGTTGGCCTGGGGCTAGCGGACCTTCCCCACGTCTACCATATCAGCACAGGTTACTCTCTGAAGCCGCGAAACAAGCAAATACAGGAAAGACTACTTGCAAGTAAGGCAAAGCTGGCGGAATGCCTCGGCGCCCACCAGGTCGAGACGCCTATCAAGTGGTACACTTACGTTGTGCCGCGATGCCCAACAAAACTACACAGCATTGGCGGGGACGTCCTGGACCCAGCCACACTCGTTGAAGATGAGGTCTTCGCACAGACAGGACAGAAGCCTGTCCTTGCTCGACCGTCCCGCCTTGGGCCCAACCCAGTCACGAACGAAATATCTTGGCTCATATCATTCACATCAGAGGTCACGCCCTTCAGGCTCTTCAACCAAAGCGGCAGATCTCTGCCCGTCAAGAAACGAAGGACGCTCATCCGACACGACCCCGGCTGCCAGGGCTACCACTCCAACCGGTTCTGCGGACGACGACCGATCTGCAGCAACTGCGGAAGACCTTCCGATTCACACGAAACGGGACCCTGCATGGCCAGGCCCCAATGTGCCAACTGCTGCGGCCCCTTCCAAGCCAGCCACACAGACTGCCCAGCGAGGCCCTCGGCCGTAAACGGCGTCGTCTCCCTTCCCGGTCGAAAGGAGCGGGCTCGGATCCGGAAGGCCGGCCAGAAAGCATCGGACACTCTGTACAAGGCTACTCGATCCGACAGTAGCCAGGAGGCGGCAGGCGTCCCTACCTCCACCAGCCAGAACCAGCAACCCGGCGCCAAGCGCGCGCGCACGAGAACGCCCTCCGCAAGCTCGATCGTTTGCCTCGGTGACGGAAGCACTGACAGCAGCAGCATGGATGAAGACGAGGCGGACGAAGGCGAAGGCGAAGACTCCCCCGACAACACCTCCATCGACCGTCCCGTGCTACCCATGCCAAGCAGGAGCCAACGGGCAGCACAGAAGCCAAACTACAACGTCGCGAATGCCTACACCCACCTCGAACTCGACTCGGAGACGTAAGCCGAGAGCGGCGACCCCACGGATGCTACGCGTTGCGCAGGGCAACGTCGGAAAGATCTCCCCGGCGCACACGGCTTTCCTGCAGCTCTGCTGGGAGGCTCAGATAGATGTGGTCCTCGTCCAGGAACCCTGGACGGGCTGGAAGGACGGAAACGTGCAACTGAACACGCACCCGGGTTTCGACTCTTTCGTCCCGGTCGACTTCTGGGACAGCGAAGGAACCAGACCAAGAGTATTGACCTACACACGCAAAGGGATAGGGATGACGGTGGAGCAGCAGAGGCCTGTCCACACGAGAGACGTACTGTGGCTGGTGGTCGACAAAACGACGACTATCGTCAACGTGTACAGACAACCCCGCGACCCCCACAGCCGCACAACAGGGATACTGCTAGAACTCAAACCCCCGGAGCGAGCTTTGATCGCGGGTGACTTCAACGCGCATCACTACTCTTGGGAGCCCGGGACGAGGAACGGGAACCGGGGAGATGACATCGCAGGCTGGGCAGACGGCCACAATCTCTCTCTTATCAGCGAAGTTGGGGTGGCAACCCAGGATTGCGGACATGTCCTGGACCTGGCTTTCTCTAATATCCCTTTTGCGCACGCGCAGGTCAGCCCACAGCTACACCCGGGAGCTGACCACGAGGCCATCGTGGCCGTCATACCACTACTCAAACGCCCAGTGTCACAGGGAGAGGGCCACCCGCAGCCACGGCCACTGTCAGTGCCCGACTCGGCGCTGCCTCGGCTGAGAGACCTGATCGAAGGGGGGCTAGCTGCGATGCCCAATCTGGGGGATCAACCTACTCCGGAAGACCTGGACGGGCAGGCAAGTCACATCGTCGAGCTCTTCTCCCGAGCCATTGAGGCGGTCGGCAAGAAGAGAGGAAAACATGGTAAAGGCGCGGCTTGGTGGACGGAGGAATGCGCAGAGGCCCACAGAGCATACCGTGCTGCCCGCAACCAACAAGCCTGGGAGACGGAGCAAGATGCGCACCTTTATCTAATGGAGAAACGAAAGGCGTTCCTGAGCACGGTGAGGAAGGCTAAGCGAGCATACTGGGCCGGAAAGATCGATGGAGTCGCTTCAGACCGGGACCTGTACCAGATCATGGGTTGGCGGAAGGCGAGCCTACTGACCAGAGCACCCCCATTGGTTGTGGACAACCAGACGATCGAGGATACTAACGAAAAGGCTCAAGCGCTTCGGGGAGCCCTTCTCGACAGGTTTAGTGCGGAAGATGACGCACCGGGTGACCCGTTTGACGTACCCGTCGTCCCGAGGCGAGCGATTACTTGGCAGGACAATGTTAGCGGAGAAGAAGTGAAGACGGCCACCTTAACAAAGACAACGACCCCTGGTGTGGACGGCATCACAACACGCCTCCTCCAGGCATGCTGGGATGTCATCTCGGAACCGGTCAGGCAGCTATTCCAGTCCTGTATGCGGGCCGGCCACTTTCCTCTGCCCTTCCGCAGAGCTGAGGTGGTCATGATCCAGAAGGCCGGCAGGGATGCCTCCAAGCCCGGGTCCTGGCGGCCGATCGCGCTCCTCTCGTGCCTGGGCAAGGGACTAGAGCGACTGATAGCCAGAAGGATGGCGTCCCTGGCGATTGTCGAGCGCATCATCAGTCCGCAACAGATCGGGGCTCTACAAGGCAGGTCAGCCGTCGATCTGACGACCTGCCTCACCCACGACATCGAGATGGCCCTCCTAAAAGGACTCACGGCGACACTTCTGACTATGGACGTAAAAGGGGCGTTCGACTCCGTCCTTCGGAACCGGCTCGTCATTAGACTGCGTCAGCAGGGATGGCCACATGGCCTGACCAGACTGATCTTTAGCTTCTGCTGCAACCGCACCGCTAGAGTCCGACTGGAAGAAAGCACAACGGAGTACTTCCCGCTGTCATGCGGGCTGCCTCAGGGGTCACCACTATCTCCCATTGCCTTTCTGCTCTACATCGCAGAGATACTTGAAGACGACCCGAACGCGCGATTCGGGTACGCGGACGACATCGCCACTCTGGCCATCAGCCCCTCCCTGGAGAGCAACGTCGCAATACTCAACCGAAGCGCAGCCGGCATTCTCAGATGGGGCTTGGAGAACAAGGTCTCCTTTGACCCGAGCAAGTGCGAGGTCATCCACTTTACTAGGAAGCACGGCCAGCCAGCGGAGCTGCCAGAGGTCCGGGCGGGGGATTTGGTGGTCAAGGCCTCGACGAAACCTGTACGCTGGCTGGGTGTCTGGTTCGACAAGAGACTGTCCTTCCGGCACCATGTCGACGCAAAAGTAGCTGCAGCAAAGAGGGCAGCTCAACATCTGAGACAGCTTACGAACACAAAGAGGGGACTCCCAGCGGCCGCCGTGCGAAAAGCCGTCGTCTCCTGCGTACTGCCGATCGCGCTCTTCGGCGCCGAAACATGGTACGCAGGTATCACGAAGCCGGCTTCGAGACGCCAAGCGGAGACAGACACGAATCCGCCTCTCCAAGGAAGACCCGTCAACACAGGCCAAAAGGGGCTCGTGCAGAAGATCGACAGCGTCATTACAGCGGCAGCAAGGGCCGTTCTGCCTGTCTGGAGGACAACGCCAACCAGTAGCCTCCTCCGAGACGCCGGCTTACCGTCAGCCAAAGTCGCCTTAGAGGGCGTCCGCTTACGGGCCGCAGTCCGACTACAGAGGATTGATCGCCGACACCCGCTAGTCGCGCGGCTCTCCCAGCAGGGACAGCAACAGACGAGACTACAACGGACGGCTGAACTTCTGCCAAGATGCGGAAGACCAGCGTTCCTTCAATCACAGTACCTGCCAAGCTCACAGGATCAGATAGTAGTTCAATGCAAAGAAGAGGCTGCGAAAGCTTTCGAGCGCTGGCTAAAGACAGTACCGGAAAGCCATATGATCGTCTTCTCGGACGGCTCCAGGGCGACGAACGGAGCCGTGGGGTACGGCTTCGTCATCTACCGAGACTCCAAACGCATAGCACAAGGGTGCGGCCGACTCGGACTAGCAGAAGTGTTCGACGCCGAGGTCGAAGGGGCGCGAACCGGCCTCAGAAGGGCTCTGCTCACCAATCGCGGTCATCCAATCCACATATGTATCGACAACACCAGCGTTATACAAGGCATCCGCGGCAAGGCGCCGGACTCGTCACAAGACGCGTTCCTCGAAATCCAAGAAGCGGCCAGGATATTTGATATACGGACGCACTGGTCCCCGGGACACCAGGGCATCGAAGGAAACGAGGCCGCGGACCGGCTGGCCAAAGAAGGAACGACACTGCCGGCGCGGATGGGTCAAATGGCAACACTAGCGGGCATCAAGCGGCTTGCAAGGGAAAAATTACAAAGCCAGCACAGGAGATGGTGGTATAAAGAGCGAAGGCCGCGGTACGCGGACTTGGGGCTTGAGGCAGCTCTGTCCAGCCCTCCTGAACTGGCCTTGCCGCGGGCTACGTTACATCACCTGCTGGCGGCACGATCGGGTCACGGGGACTTCGAGCAATATCACCGACGTTTCAACCACGACGACGCTCTAATGATGTGCTCTTGTGGAGAGGCGAAAGACGTGGACCACCTGGTCTACTGTCGACTAACGCTGGCGAGGAGGCAACGGTGGCCGACCCTCCACTCTCGCAGTATGCCCGAGCCCATAGGCCCTATGGGATCTCTCGAGGCCTACTTCAAGAGATTAATCACCGACCCACGAGGCTTCGAGGCCTTTCTCCGCGTGACGGACTTCTTCCAGAAGATCTGTCTGCGGTAGCAGCATCCACACCTACGTAGATGTGAGTGCGGACTACAAAGAACCTCCCGATTCCAAGGGACGATTTGGGAAAGAATGAAACTGGGGCACCAGCGGGAACCGGGGACAGACAGAACGCGTAGTGGCCACAAGGCATGATTTGGAGGACGATGTAAAGAGACGACGTACTGTAGAGTAGGTAGCCTTGGCTCACGGCCCTCCACGCCATATACCCTTCGGGAGGTCTGCGGTAAGGGCTCTAGCCCGGCCGCCACGGCGTTAAATACAACAACAACAACAACATAGTGCGTTAGGACTACAAATCTTGCCTTAATCCTAACATCAGTGGATATGGCACGAATTCTCACGTCACGGCCATGCTCAAAACATGTCCACCAATAGTTAGTCACACCACCTCCGGATGCAGTGGATGCAAACGTTATCAGTTGAACGTTCCTTCATTATCAGGCCCGCTACAGGCATAACAGGGGCGAACGACGTTCCGGTGTAAGCACGAACGGCAATTCAGTCACACCAACGTCTTTAGTTTGACTTGCTGAAAATCTCAATTCGTCCTCGGTACATTCTGATCGTCCATAAAAGCCTTCTATTTCCATCTTTGTGCTCATCCAGTTACCACGAGGACTGAGTTTCCCGAATCAAGCAGTTGTCTTGAAATCCTCACACGCACAGCGCCGGCCAACATGGACTTTCCTATTCCCAGCATCCGCCTGTCAAGATACTCGTTGTTCCTATCTGGGGTAATTCCCAGACCTCAGCAAGAAAAAAATGGGCGCCTTCGCGGCAAACCAGCCAAATTATCTACTCGAAACGACGAGGGTGATGTGGTCACCGTGCCTCTGACAGCCCTCCCATATATCCCAGAAAAGGAAGATATCGTCTCATTCTTGGATGAATGGCAACAGTGTGCAAGCGACCTTCGGAAACATCTAATATACCTAACTAGGAGGAACAACCCATGCTGCCCTGCGATGAGACGGCTTCAATGGACGTGTGAACAAGTTTCGTGCCGCTGGGAAGCGTGTTTCCGACATGCATGTCCTGGCCTGGAAAGCCCCGTGGAGTCGAACATGGCTCTGCCGGATCTGAGATCGTCGATTTGGGATGTGTTTCTTGAAGAAGGCGCCTTCGAAGCAACTGCTGATTAGATGGAGTGGTATATGGCTCATAGAATAATTACATGGTGATTGCCTTCTAGGTTATTTTCTTTAGATACCAGGTGGCTGTCTTTGACGCTTTCAACTGTGGGTTCTCCTATATGGATCGTGTAGCGCCAGATCGGCTCGGGGTAGTTCAAGCACTGTCATTTACTTGGAACTGGTCGCATACGATCTTGCGGACTGACCTCGAAGTTTATCTCAAGAATTTAGATAGTTCAATGCTGGAGAATGCCGTGCTTTGTGGCGATAGCGTATGATCCAGAGTAGGACAATGTACTTGCTCTGCTGCTTTCACCAGCACACGAAGCATAGAGGTGATTTTGATGTCGTGAATGTGGACTCTGATGCTTGACCATACACCTATCGCAAACATACCGCGATCAATCTCAGCCGGCAGTCGAGGCCACATGTGTCTTACGACGTCACTTCTCATTGAGACATATGTTTTCGGGAATACAGTGCGACATCCACGCGACATACAAGCGACGGGAAGAGATTTCCCACCGGTGTCGAATATCATAGAGAATAATGTTTGACATCGCCTTGATACTCTGCCTAAACGCCTGAATCTCATTACCAATGGACGAGGAGCATGCAACATGATGTCTAGATTCAGTATCATCGGCCGTAAAGGCCGAGATGTGAGATTGAGTCGGCTATTGAGTTCAAGCCATGAGGGTGTCGAACGAGAGTCGCGCTGTGTATAACAAAGCTTGGCTTCATAGTCGGACGTAACGCGTTGACGAGAGCCATTGGATAATAGCACGGTTCGGGATCGCTGGCTGGCTTGCGGTGCAGACAATCATTGGAACGTGAGTATGGGTCCCTCTGCAGTGTGCAAGTCGTCCAGTGACCGTCAAATTTACAAGTAGTAGTGGGTAGGATTTCAGAGCCCGTTGACGCTTTCTTTGGTGATCGGCAAAGCTTGCTAGAGTCAGGGGGATGGTGAGCTTCGGTGAGGAAGTGGGCCAACTAACCAGCGTTAGACCTCCTATGCCAACTTACGGCGTTGGCGCTCGTAGGTGAAAACAGAAATAACGGTAACATCACTGACGAAAGCCAACAGATTGTATCACGCATTCTTACACTTTTGCTTGAAGCACGCTGCTAATAAGACGACGCACTTCTTCGCCACTCCACGTCGTAGACAAGACACCTTTCTCTTTTAAGTTCGTTTCGATATGCTGCTGATCTTGGATAGTCGCAACCGAATAACATGTCCTACGGCCTCCGACGCTCGCGGGGCTTCTTCTCGATGCCGCTGCAATAGACTCGCCAATATGGGCCGTGAAAAACCATCTGAGGGCCGTGGTCTTGAGTCAAGAACGACGATTCACTGCTGTGCGGGTTTAGAATGCAACACGCCAATTACTGCCTTCATGTCGACACAGCCCAGCCTCTTGATAAGACGCCCATGCCCTATCAAGTGGCACAGAAAACAAAACTCGTAATACATTGCTTCCTGTCCGCTATCAATAGTGGCGACACGAGAACGCCAGCGCAGGGCAAGAGAAAGTCTCTTCGCCACTCACATCAAGGCCGCTGCAGATGTCGGCTGCTTGCTACACGTTCACCGGAACTACGAGGACTAAATGATATCCAATGCCTTGCTTTGAGAAGTACTGGATGCCCAGGGGTTTTCTCTTTGAGCTTTGACCATCTCCCAAGGATCCAACGACGATGCTACACTGCGGCTGCACTATTTCGGTCTAGACACGCAAAGGCAACCTGCAAGCCTGACCGAAAATTTCCCACCTACATAACAAAAGCTTCACGCTAAAAGATGCGATGATATATGCCCCTTTTACAAAGAATCGGTGTCAAAGAATACGGCTCAGCTACTAGGCCGAATTCCCTCCAGACCGCTACCTACTTACTCATTCTCTTCGACGGCGTTTTATAGACGCACGCTCCCAGCCCAAGCTAAAACCGCTTTACATTCACATACCTCTGGACATTGCCAATTCTCGACTTCTTCAACAAACGACATGCACTTGGATTCCACTTCTATCATACCGCTGCAATTTTCTAGAAGACTGTAGGTAACCATCGCTCCGCGCTTATGACATCTGCTCAATTCTAATCGGATCTGAAACTCGGAACCAGTCCAACCCAAAAGGTTTGTCTCTCCCATTTGGCACGACAACCAACCTCCGTCATCAATAAACTATAGACATTATCTGCGAAGAAGATGGAAATCACCAAGTCTGTCGACAAGGAGCGCATACATCGCTTCTGCTGTAGTTGGAAGGCTTGCGAGAAGGTAATTTCCAGTGCTTTCCGGAACCCTAGATGCTATCAGAAGGCTGCAAATCCTCGAAGAGCATCATACTTGCGCAGAAATTTTTCCAGGGATTCAAACGGACGTCGGATCTCATCAGACACACTCGAATCCATACCAAGGAACGGTCATATCCATGCTCAACACCGGGCTGCGGGAGAAGCTTCACACAAAGAAGTGCGTTGACAGTACACCTCCGTACACATACTGGAGAGAAACCATACGAATGCCATCAATTTGGATGCTACAAACGATTCGCCGATGTGAGTGGACAGAACTTGGACTCTAACGTTCGCAAGTCTTCCAGTTTTGCGCGTCATCGTCGGGTACATCTAAGCAAACGTCCATACGCTCTTGAAATCTGTCCTAAAAGGTGAGTCGCAATTTTGGACTGTCGGAACGACTTGAATTCCAATTAACAGAAAACCAGTCTCGGCCACAAGAGGGCTCTGATTGAGCATCGCAAGATCATCCATAACTTGGCGTCTGGAGAGGAATTCGACGAGTCTTTGGGGGAACTTACGAACGCTGCGAAAGATGACAGCCTGGTGACGTGTTCGAATCCGATGCTAGAACATGTTTACGATGATACGACGAGCCCCACGGAAATGAAAGGGGAGCATTGCTCTTCCCTTGACCATACGCATCACACGACAGGCCAGCTCCATAAACAGGACGAGCTATTTTACGAGAACCAAGCCAGTGAGCAATTGGCATTCCCGACCATCCACCCAGAATACGAGTACGAAGAGCCGCAGGGCTTCTATCAGGGTCCTCTCTACTCAAGCTGCAGCAGGGATGTCACAAATCAGCGGCCAAACCCCTCGTGGAGTTTCTGCCCGTCTTCTCAGCATTCACATCACGAGTGCAGCCCACATCCAGCAAACATACCTTTGGGTCTGTCGGGGATGGCTGGCAATGCAGAGCTTGACAGTGAGACTGGATACCTGCTTGTACAAGATCACGCGCCTTCCATAGCCGGATTCCCTCCGGCTATTACACCACACCATATCTACCCTATGCAAGAGGCCGATTGGCCGAGAGGCCAGATGTGGTACAATGATGGATTCAAATGTCGCTCCAGCTTGGTCCCACCAAAGTGGCAGACCCGCACAGACCTGATTGAGACATACACATGATCATCCGCAATTTAGTTCTGGCTAGGTTTTAGTAGGTTGTAGTAGCACGCATTGCGCTGCATCCCACACATTTGATTCTATCAGCGAATTGTTCCTATCTAGAGCACAAGACCAACAACGTGATTTCTTAGAGAGCCCCATTATGAATGAATAAACCTACGATCATGATGTGAGGAAGCCACTCGAGGATAGAAACTGAAGAATCCCTTCTGGGCTTTCCACAGTTTTACGACTGGAAGAATGTTCACTAGGGTCTCAAACGCAACTATATCTTGCCCCCATCCTCAAATTGCTGTAAGAGGGTTGACTTCACTGTTTTCCATTTCATGAGCGGCTTTGTACCACGCTTGGTATATTGCTTCTCGGTCTCGATTAATGCTAACGATAATTTTTGGGAAACATCCCTCGGAGGCTCCATTGGGCTTGCGGCTCGGATACGGGACTGACCTTCAAGTACCACGGCGAATATTTGACAATCTCCGCATCCTATACCGTGGGTAGATGGTTGATCGAATACGGCCTGTACGCAAGGAAGGATGGTGATGACTACTGCCGGACAAGTCTAGAACGAGCGCAGACGAGGCTTCAGTAGCTATCGGCTAAGTAAGGAGTGATGTTTAAGTCCAACAACTCTATCAAACCTTGCAAATTCGGGAGAAGCAGTAGCCGCTATCACCAACGGGGAAGTATTTGTGTCGGATTGGAAGTCCAATTCGACCTCGAGGCAAGGGGCCCGCGCAGGGGCCACTTACAGACCGCACTTACAAGATCCACGGTCTGCCCAACCTACGATTGGAACCTCCCTTTTACACCTTACGCAGAAGTTAATATATATCAATTTGACCTCTTCGTCAACCCACGGTTCGAACCAACTACCCTGTGATAGGGATACCAACAATTTGATTAAAATTCGCCCGCGGGTCTGAGCCGTGACTTGAGTAGCAAAACGCGGACACTGACAAGCTAGTCTTTAGAGGCAGCAAGCACATCAAGGAGATGCGGCTTTACGGCGCCGCTTTCCTCGTCGATGGTGCGTCTGTCACAGATAAGTTTTCTTGTCATGTGGTTGAAACCATCTGTGCTCCCATTGCCGTCCATTGGGTGGAAGAGCGCTTACCAGATGGCACTGGCCATTCTGGCGTAAACTTGACCTTTGCTAGTCAGGTGGTTAAATGCGCATAATATTGCATTCTATGACTTTCGTTCTTTTGAGCCAAAGGAACCGAAATGTACTGAGTGAGTCTCGATAATGACTTGATAGGGGCTTTGGAGAATCCTGTCTCGATAAACACACTTGAGATTGCGAGAGTGGGAGACGCGATCATGTTCAAAGAACCTTCATATGTAATTTTTGAATATCGCGACGTCAGATGCGAGTAGGCTGCACAAATTTGGGTCCTGAATTTGTCCCCGACAAGATAGTAGCTTATGCCAGTCTAGGGGCTTATGTGCCCAGTTTTACAACACTTGGACTTTCGCCATTTCGCAACTGTCCCAGTGCTGGTGTTCCAATGAGTTTCCTGTCTCGGGGCTAACGGAAGCATCGTCGTGCGACTCCCCTTGTCCCGGGTATCCGTATGAGACTTTCAATGGCCAGTATTCCGAAGCAAACTTCGGTGAAGACGGTGTATGAAACTCGAATTGCGGCAAAGACACTTATCAAGACAGTAACATGGACGGTCACCGACACTCAAGGAGACTTGGAAGTTTCGCCACACGCTCCGTACATCATCACGACTGCCCTCCAATCGGCAGGCTCATCAGCTCCAGATTCCTACGAGAAACTCGATCAGAGAAAAACTGCCGGTAATAGGGGGGGAACCCTCGCTATAGCCTTGATAGTGTCACTCATTGGTGTGTGGAGCCTTCATCGGCGGCGAACACCTTTTGAGCGAGATGACTTGAAAACAGGCTACGTCAGCGAGCTCACACATTTGCCTCGCAAATTTGAAGGAGCCATCTTTATGTCCGTCGGTCAAAACGTGCTCAACAGAAAACTTATTGAGGGTCTCACCGACGCCGTCAAGGACTTGGATTCGCGAACCATTGTCAATACCGGCGCAACAGCCCTGCGCGACGTCTTGCCTGTAGAGTACAATACACCGGCCGTTGAACAAGGCATATCGGGCATTGTAATACTGTTTAATGAAGGATGACATACTTTACAAGTCACTCAATATTGAGGATGGCGTAATATTCTATGTAGTACTTGTTTTAGCGTGGAAGGCAAACAAAGTGTAGACAGGCATCCAGTAATACATGAGAGAAGCTCATTAGACCTTTGTCTTTGCCTTGTAGGCAGTTTTCTTAGCCTTCCTAGCCGTAGCCTCAAGCACCTTCTTGGCGACGTCTACAGTCCCTCGAAAAGCTTCTCGCCCTCGTCTTGGTACCCCTTAGCATCCTCTATTGGTTGTTCTAGCTTGGAAACAATATAATCACGGTCTAGGATCATCTCAAAATATCAATGCAGACCGACCGAGCCACCAATCTGGGACGCCTTGGGGTTCGTCTAGTAGATAGGAGACAAAACATGTCAGTAGTGACGTACTATAGAGCATTGGAGCGCTTCGCGAAGATCCAGCCCGCCCTTAGGCCGTAACAGATAACGTAGAAGTTATAAGATGTATGAAATATCAAACATTAAGACAATGCTCTCTAATAAGCATTTTGAAACAAAGCTAGATTCATATATTGGTAAGTATTGATCGAAAGTTACAGTAATAGTAGTATTTTGAGGATGTTACTTTCTTATTATTTTATTAGTCCTTGATTATTCAGGATAGTTGTAGACCCTGAGTTTTGTAAGATATCAGTCTTCTATCTCCTTATTCAGATATACTGCTATGAATATTATTGAAGAATCAAGATTTGGTGTAGGCTATAAATAAATTTAATAATGTGTAAAAGGTGAGGAGGTGAGGTGATCTTTGAAAAATAACGCTTCCACGAAGAGTAGACATCTCCAGATCCACCGATTGACCTTGAACACGAACATCCACTCATACTCAGCGCAAAGAATGAATAGCAGGTAGGGACACAGGGGTGCCGTGAACGCCTGGACACAAGGTGCTGTGACAGATAGTGTTAATTACTCCTAGCATTAGATGATGCTTTGATCTGGTCAGCTATGCATGCGCTGGCTTACCCATCTTGCTACAATTCTGTACTGATAGGTAACAAAGCTGAAACCTGATAGAAGTGCCAAGACGGAGTAACCTGCAGCGGCATTGCATAATCTGACAGATCAAGACTAGCTGACAGAACTAGGGATTTGACCGCTTGGAGTCATCACTCAATCAATCACACATTTAGAGCGGGTTTGCCTCACAAGGGATAGACGCTAATTATTTACATAAGTCTACTGCGTCGGAGTACCGGCGATATGCGAATGGCAGCCGTGACGAGAATGTCGCCGGAATTGCCCTCTGAGACCTTATGTTCGTCGCGAGTGGGACCTTGGACAACTAGCGAACGTCGCAGTGTGAGGTTATAGAAGCGGTCCTGGACTTGCAATCAAGCTGATGAACTCCGTGAGTATCCTGACGCGCCTTCTACGCGTGGTATTCTTCAGGACTCATCCGTGATCCTAGCAGCTCAGCTTGGTTTCACAACGTGGATCGTACTTTTGGATGCCGCCTAGACCTGAAATAGAAACTAGGCGGAGCTTTTCGCACGGACGTTCCCATAGTAGCAAGGCTCGATCTCCAGCAAGCGAAGCTCAGAGCTGAATGAGGCCGATAGAGTTGCTCATCAGCCGCGTCGTGCTCGCCATATCTGGCCCCGAGAAGGGCGGCGCTACTAGGTCGTCGAAACACGATGGAGTGGAGGCCATTTGGGGATGACAGACCACGGCATGAATGATGATTTTCAGATATCAGTGAGAATGGTCTGCTGGAACCACGGCCAGTACTCGTTTTCAATGTACCTGCCGAGCAACTGCAACACTGCAACGACCTGGTATACCCCTTCTGTCTTTTGGGTGGATCCGCACAGGACTCGACTGTACAGCCGAGATTTGCCCGCCGCAGACCGTGTCATGGCAACGAAATACCAGTCGTGTCCTTGTACGACGATGCCCGGTAAAAAGACCAACCCAGCCGCAGCAGCAGCAGAAGGCTTTGGGTCGTAAGCATTGCCAGAACGAACACTGTTAGATGCAGGATTGCCCCGTGATCGCGTACGCAATACGAGATCGTCCAAGGCATCCCACTGAGCGAGGAGCCAGACGCTGATCTGGTTGAAGGCCTCGGCCCAGTCCTGCCCAGTGACTTTGGTCTCAAGGGACAGAGCGATCGGGCGCTCGAGCAGTGCAGGGTACTCGGTATGGTTGATGGACTGGAAGGGGGAGGTAAGAGCTGCTCGCGTGAGCTCCGGGGACTGTTCGTTGACGAAGACGCAGAAGTCGACTTTCTTGTTATGATGGGAGGCTTTCGCGCCGCGAGTGTAGTTTGGATGAATTTGAACCCCAGTGCTGCAGGCCGTCAGTAACTATGCAGCCGACGAATTCAGAACGGGATCTGGGTCGGGCTTGCGGCGTACCAGATGCAGAAGCCAAGGTGTTGAAAGTGCGCCAGCGCCATCTCGAGGATTTTGAAATGAACAGCGCAATTCCACTGCATCTCAAAGTGCTGGAAGCTCTGACAGTCGTCCGCGTCTGTCCAGATTTTGTTCACCCTCTCAAGAGTGGGTGTCGGTCCGAGTTCGTCGCGGGTTGATTCGGCTTGGCCGGACGGCGGCCGGGCAAAAGAGGTTTCTTTGATCCATCTGAATCGGCGAGATGCTCCACGTTGTTGATTGAGTGTTTCCTTCATGCGTAAGAGTTCGTTAGCTCAGCCAATTGAAAGGAGGTTTCTGGGAATGTGGACTAACCTTCTCCGTGTGCGAAATGATTCCTTCGCCCCTGGCCAGCTCTTCGATCCGCGACACGATATCATCTACTGCAGGTGGGAGCTCGGCATCACTGTCGAAGCTTACAGACTCGACAGCCTTCTCCATGGCCATGAGGACGGTCTGTTTCCGGGGACTCGACTGTCGTCGGCGCTTCTTGGTTGGGGTCCCCGGGCCCGAGCCGAGCGAAAGATCGCTGGCATAGCTTGCTAAAGAGGATGAGGCAACGCTGTTGGCCTGAGAAATGGGTGGTCGTTCAGGGTGGTAACTTATGGGTGTAGAGTCAAGATCGGGAATGACATTGAACTGGGAGTCGGAGTCGGGGTTGTAGGTGCCGGGTCGAAATTGCTTTGGGTCTCGAGGGGTGACGTTCTCTGTATCGTCATGTCCGTCGCGAGAAGTGATGTCGCGGCTATCCATCTCGATCGCGGATATATTGGATGGCGTGAACTGAACTTCTGGATAAAAACTCTCCGGAGGCGAGGGCAGTCTGTGCAGGTGCCCCACGTCCGGCGTTCGTTTACGCTTGTGGGTGCGGTCTCTGTGACTTGTCACTGCTGCTACGACTGGTGATACTGCGGGAAAAGTAGAATCGTCGGGATGAGATATGTTGACGATCCAATTGATTATCGCGTCTTCGGAAGTCATTAGGCCGAGTGTTAAGTTGGGAAGGGAAACGCTGCCTGTTCGTCTTTGGGCGAAATCGATTGATGAGTACAGCGCGATTCCCAAAGAACCTGCTTGTGAGGAGTACAGTAGAATAATCGGACATAACATTCCGCTCAGGCGTCTATCGGTTGGCCCGGCGATGCTGCGCGTCATGATTGTGGCTGATTTAGCAGTCTGATGGTCAGTGCGGCATGGCTCCGAAAATGGCTGGGCTCTTCCAACAGAGCGTGCACTTCAAGTGGCTTGTCAAGAATGCTTGCGACGCCACAGAGGCGCCTGGGGGCCAGCCACAAGTCTACCCACCCATGAACACAGCCGAAAGGCACCGCGAGGCGAAGGTCTGTTGCTTTTCTTTTAGACCTTGATTTCCTAGCTACAGCTTTCGGTAATATTACCGAGCTTAGAAAGCAATCTTTTGAGCGCTGGAAACAAAAGGAGTTGCGGTTGTTAAGAGAGAGTTATGATATTCACGATAATATTAATTATTTACTGCCAAAGGGGAGCCATATCCTGATATCCAATGCTAGTTCATTCGTTAGATAGTTATAGAATAGACTGAGGTTCAGATTCTTAAAATCAGTATATCTAACTCATGTCTTTGCGTCGCCCTAGCGATCGGCCAATCGTCTAGGGCGCCTGTATAGTGAACGGAGCGCAGGTTTGCAGCTGCGGTACGCAACTTTGCTCCAAGAGAACGGGAACAACGGTTTTGGGATTGACCTTTGATCGCAACGCAACACAGCCGAACCCCGCCGTCTCAATAGCCCAGGCAGAACTAAGGCAGAACAACCAGACAGGCAAAAATGCGGGGGTCCTTAGACAATGAAAGGGGGAAAACGTGGAGGTCAGACTAGATTTAGTAGGTGAAGAATTTGTCGCCACTGATTTTCTCTCCGTTTTGGTTCTCAACACATTTGATTCGTTTGCTTTGCCTTGATGACACTAGTCTGAGGTGATCCTTTAGCTCGGTACCTGGTGCATGAACAACCTGACGCGTGCGTTTGCTCCTGTTTAATTTGCTGAAGTGGCGTCGATGTCAGCTCGGTCATCAACCAGTCAGACTTTATTCGAGTGTGATATGGCGTCTCGTCAAGTAGATCGGTTCAATACTTGTACAGATGATGGCACTTTCAAATTTTTCACACCCAGTAACTAAGGAGGGCAGTTTGCTCCCTTCCACAGACGGATAGGAGCCGAAAATGAGGAATTTGTTCCCGGCACTCTCGACCAAAACAGACTCCAATATAAGTCGTGCCAATACATCGTGCGCCAATACAAACCGATTCCAGCTCCATTCGATCTCATCCGATGCGATGTAGCGACAGGAAATTGTAGCGCGGGTCCAAAGCTATCCTTGAGCTATTATGGCATCGGCTCTTCAACAGCTATAAAGAGCTGTGTCACTTCATTGATTTGTGGGCCGATCAATGGACTGAGATAATGAACCAGGTAGCGAGAGAAACTTTTCTTCCTAAGATATTGTGAAATCAACAAATAGGTCAACAACCAGCAGTATCATCTAGGATCAAATGTTTGACATATGGTATGAAGTATCAAAACAGAGCAGAGAGAAGCCCTCTTATTCATGTGCTTCTGTGACCTTGTGTCTGAAAGGCTTTTTCATGACAAAACATGACTGAAATAGAGCATCGGTTGACTAAAGGCCGGTTGAAGTGAAAGCAGCTGTTGGCATTTAAGTCCCCGTCCCAGTCTAAGTTTCCGCACAACTTTGGAATATTCTTGTACAACAGGAGCTAGATGAGGGTGTCAACATCGCAAAGAACGCCACTTCACAATTATGGATACCGACAAGAAATCGCAGACGCTGGGTTCCTCATCGCGACCGATCTCATCACTTCTCAGTCCTACCTCTGAGCCAGTCACCATCACTTTGAAAGACTTGGGCCCTAGTACCAGTGCTACGTTGGCCCGATTTTGCAACGACCCAGACACAGTAGCCAAAGGCTTTTGGCATTGCCGCATCGCCGACTACAGTCCGGCAGGTATTTTTACCAAAAATGGAATCGCCAGCTTCCCACTGGAAACAGACGACGACACGTCTAGAGTGGATTTCTACATGACGGAAATCAGGCCTTCGCGGCGAGGAAACGCTGTGTTTCACTTACAATACGCTAACACCGCATATCGTCGCCCGAAGATGGTTTCGTTCACAGAATACGCGCCCGCAGTCCTTAATAACAACAGCCTCTTCTCAGCTGATGCGCTGCGAAGACGCACAGCCATGCACGGCCAGTACTATATTGGCGACTGGTCTTGTTTGCTTGGTAAGCCATCGTCGTTGTTGAGTTGCGGCCCTCAGCTTAAGAGCCTGTTCGTGGACGATGCCAAGCCGGGCATCACGACGTCTTATCTGTACTATGCGAAACATGCACTCACTGGAAGCGGCATGCATATAGAGGACCTCGCTGTGCCATCAGTCAACATGGTACGCTGGGGTGCCCCCAAGCGATGGCTGTTCGTCACGCCAGAGCAAGAGAATGTGAGAGCCTTCGAGAAGAAATGCCGCGAGACATTCCAGTGGCGCGCACAAGCCCGTAGGCCTCAACGCGCAGCGCCACACTGCTCACAGTTTGTGCGGCATACAAATGTGCTCGTAACGACTGAGGCTCTCCGTGACTGGGGCATTGACTTCAGTGAGATAATCTGTCGAGAAGGAGAGCTGGTAGTCACTCTCCCAGGGACATACCACCAAGTCGTCAATATGGGGGAGAACCTCGCAGAGGCTGTCAACGTGATGTGGGGCAACTGCGGTCAAGTCGTATCGACGTACACTTGTTGCAGCCGTGATCGATGTGGGCATACTGGTGGCGTCTCCCAAGAGGATTTGACGCGCGAGGTCTGAAGCCAAAAGGCCCCAGGAACGCCATACAAGCTAGGCGAAAATACATCGAGTTTTAATTGAAGAAATCCACGCATACGTAGTAGGATAGCAAATATGCGATGGCATAGAATGGATGACATGTTGTGAAGATTTCTTTTGATATGAGGAGGTTATTGGGCGTGCATGTTAGATGGTGGAATAAGTTGCACCGACGCGAGATGTAGCTCTAGGATGGACAGACACGTGCGGCCGTTGTGCCCAAGATGTCGTCGAGCTGCTTCAGAGACCTGAATGAATTGGTTTAGAACGTTCCATCGACGCCTGGGCAGAGCGGTTCCTTGAGTATGCGAAAGATCCTCTGAGTGAGCCGATCCGCTGGCAGGATCACAGACCCGCAGACAAGAAGATGCCACTGAAGAAGGAAAAGGAAATAGAACAAAGAACATCCGCCAAGGGCCAGTGCGCAAGCCATTAGGTCTCGTCGGAGGTGGGGCTGAAAGAATGTCGTAGCGAGCTCCCGGCCTCGAGGCTCGTCCTGCTAACGGAATCTCTAATGCTTGATGACCCCAATGTCAATAGTGTGTATCACGAACATGCGCCGTCTCCTTTTCCAAAGCATGGAAAACTGCCATTTGGCAGTCAGGCAGGCAGGTGCACGGGCCTGAGTGTTATAGCAGCTGACAGCTTAGCAAAGGTATCTACTTCGAGATGTTATATCTGATGTATCGGTATGCGAACCGAAGTTGTTAGTGTCACAGGATGAGAACGCTACATCCTTGACAAGTGTTATACTTGCCTTTTACACTTTCGTGGATGTTATGGATTGCCCACTTCATTACACGCACTAGATCATATGTGATATAGAGCTGGAAGCCTCTTACGGCCAAGAAATTGAGGGGTTTGCGCAGAAAGTTGGTAAGAGGTTGATCACCACTCGCACTTGTTAGCTCGTTATTTACATAACATCGGACGCGATATAACGTGTTATCCTACCATGGTAGTTTCAATTATCGCAGAATAAATGATCACATTGGTTTCTTCGAACCATTCATGCGACGTGCTTCACTTAGCTTGAATATATTCATAGCCATGATGGAGTACAAAAGGACCCAGTGCCATGTGCTTGGAAAGATTCCAACATCGCCTACGTACAGCAAGTCACAATTCGCCAGCTATGCAAATCACTGTGCAAGTACTCGACACGCAGAAACGACCTATCGCAGGTGTTTTCGTGACTCTGCACTGCTTGGATGTCCCAAACATTTCATTGAACGGTACTACAGACTCGAATGGTAGACCCTCATGGAAGTTGGAGAGCGCCCCTCGACCGGAACACACCTGCCGGAAAGTTTGGAATGCGCACTGGCAGATTACAGTCCATTCCATGGGGAAGAAGATGCCAATCATTCCCGTTGTCTGCTTTGTTCCGAACCTGATCCACGTACGCATCCAGCTGACAAAAGAGGGGTATGTGGTTGGTCTGTGTGGTCCTTGAGTGGAGCATTCTAGTGGAGGTAATAGGAAACAGATCATTCCCGCCGTGGGGGCCATGCTAGAGAGGCGTGCTGAGGGTCGTTTGCTCTGACAAATCCGCTTCCGGCTCTAGTCCCCATCCATGGTGAGCAATCCAAAGCCTTACTAGAATTAGATCGAAAGATATTTATGACATGGACAGATATAATTGCTGTCCATCTGACTCACCATGTACTACGCCTGTGATATACTTCTGACATTTTGGTAATCGAGGAGCTTCCAAATGGAATTACGCACTAGGGATAGCTGATGGAAATTCAACGCACATTACCACCAGGTTCATCCTCGATGTTGCGCTGACTGCCGAAGCCAACATCTAGGCCGTTATGGTGACCTCTACTATTTTCATTTCTCTATCGAAGTGCTATCTGACAAACGAAGACGGCTGATTGAGAAGGTGCGAAATCTGCCCGTGTGGTTTTGTCATGCCATGCATATTGACTTTGCGAAGGCTTCGTTCGTGTCAGATGACTGGCCATCTTTGCCGTGGCACAATAGACCTTTGTGAGCCTTGACCAAGTGACAGTCATGGAAACGTAAACGTGCGAGCGTGAGCCGACGAGCATTCATAGCGGGGTCTGCAAAGGCCACCAGATCACGAGCTTTCTCAGCTATATTAGAGCATATTAAGTCGAACATATGTCTTGGTGTGCAGCTGCGGAATAAGCTTGAGGTTGCGATTGCATAACATGGCCGTCACGCGATGAACGCATATTCTTAGCCGCCTAGATGGGTGCTTCGGTCATGGCAGTTTCAGTGAAGGACAAATGTCTGACACCCTTCGCTAGAGATAACAGTCCCACCTTGCCTGGTCAAACTATTTATATGATGGTGATCTACTTGATCGGACTCAGAGTAAGCTCGTTTTACTGATTGATCATTTCTGCTGAAGCATCATGGTAGCATCCAGATTATTTTCGATCGCTGAGTTTATGAGACGTATAAATTTGAAGGGGCTTGGGAAGTGTTTAGGCCAAGCCAAATCTGGCGGTCGCTGCAAGAAGAGACTCTGTAGCGATCTCGAAGAAGCCAGTTTCATTCATTTTGAGGACGCTAAGCTTGAGGGCATCGTAAAACGAGCGCTTTGTAGATTGCACAAGTGTCAAACAGACATCATTGTGTCCAAATGGCAACGCCAGCTTTCACAAACGAGCGAAGAAGTGAGCAGTGCCCGGCAGAGAAGGCAGGTGCTTCAACAGACGATTATCCGCAGACAGTATCTTCGGTTGGCGCAGCGACAAGAAAACGAGAAACTGAGGTTGCAGCGCAGAAGGCTATTCGGCTTACACCGCCACGAGAAAGGAGGCATACCAACAAAACCTGCAGTTTCGGCTGAATGCCTGCCAGTGCGGGTTGATTGACAGTATGTGGGGATAGGGAGAGCGGTGAAGAGCGATGGGTAGCCATTCGCAGATCATTGCGCTTAGTCCAAGGTGTCCAGTCGGGCTATGTGTTGTTGTAGAGGTGTGGCGAAAAACTCAGGGAGTTCATGTCACTCAGAGCCTGTTCTGGCTGGTTTTCGACGCATTAACGTCCATGACGGCAGCATTCATAGTCAATGCCGTATATCATTGCTCGCTTTAGCCTCAAGTACGTTTTCCGGTAGGAAGTCAATACAAACCATTGTTACCTTTCAAACCGCTATGGTTGAATTGATCTCAGCGCTCAATAATCCACGTCTATTCACAATGTCTCCTGCAAACGAATCATACTGAAGGTAGCGGGGAAAGAATCGGGAGATGAATCCAACAAGCAAGTAAACTATATTGTAGAAACAGCAGTGACTTTAGGCGTTCCTCCATCCGAACATGGCCTAAACGAACGCCACGCTCTACTTTCGTCACACTAGTATGCAAATCACATTCTAAGTGCGACTGAAAGCTTGATGGACGTCTCATTAGAAACCCCTTCTGTTTCAAAGGCAAACTCAGACTCAGGTTATCTAGTTATCCATCAACCTCGAGACTTAGATATCGCCAACACGGCGGACCAGGTAAGCTGCAGTACACGTCAAGCACAGAAAGAAAACTGATACGCTCAGTGTCGAAGCCGCGCCGACAAATGGTACATGGTCATGAGAAGTTGCAATAGGTGCAGCACCGGTCGCCTGAACCGCACTGGGAATGCCGGTCCCGTTGTTGTATGGCGGAGCGCTTTCGACCAGTTTGAAATTTGTGCAGGTGATCCGCGTCTTGTTTGCGAAATGCAGCACGAAGCTGCGGTTGCCGAAAAACGAGCCTGGCGATCGAAAGATAGCGATCGACGTATGTCTGACGGTAGTGCTCGCCGGCGACAGAGCCGTGCTTACCGCTGAGGTCTCCAACTTGGCAAGTTTCTGGCTTGGAGGCATCGCACGGTGTACCTTCTCCACGGATGAAGGGGTCATGGTGCGCGAGTGCTTTCGTGCAGTTGCCGTCCTCCGGAATCGGATCCGCATGAAGGTGGTAGGCTATAAACGTTAGAAAAGACTTATGTGAGTGATTCAGACGCAAACAATTCCCAACGTACTAAAAGGGCCGCCCTCGGTTGGCAGATTCGAAAAGCCGACTGTGAGCTCGACACCGTTGCCGTCCCGAGCTGTCATGGCGGTGATGATTCCTCGTACGTTTCCAGTCATGGAACCTGCCTCGAAGAAGGGTCTATCCGGAAGGATCGCCTCATACACGATACCTTGTGGGTTTTTGACGAATGGAGCATCGCCAAGTTCCTGCGGCGACGCAGTGTCAGCGGGATGGTTGCATGTTGGGGGGGGGGGTGGTGAAAAGCCATACTCCAGTACCTCGCAATGCAGCGCTGGCAAACAGCTGCAGCGGCGACGGAAAAACGAATGAACTTCGCATCTTTGGCTTTTGCAAGCTAGTCGTTTTCCTAATAGATTGAGAACTGAACGTGGTCGGAGATGGGACTGTAAAAGGATGTATATCGTCACCTTTGTGGGCGCAGTGACTTCCCTATTATATATATTTGTTGACTTTCTACAGCATCACTGTCACGGTTCTACCCGAAATGCAGAGTCCAAATCAAAGCGCTATGCGTTTGATTGGATAGATGGTCTAGTCCAGTCAAGCGACCGCAGCATTCTCTCCAGGTGTCTAGATGTAGGGCTGTTATGTGGAGCCGGCGGGACAGGCTGACCAAACGGCGGGATAACCTGGGAGAAAATGTACCCAGCTTCGACCGCTTCAAATTTGAGACAGAGGCTTCCTAACGTTGGATTCTCTTGGATAGAGACTTGAATTACGAACCGCAGCGGAGTAGCTAACTGATGCAGTTCCCCCGCTGATCCTACGCAATTGTCAGCCGCAAGCCGAATCAGGGTCGTGACCCGGCTTGTGAACCCTGCTACGGAGAAACAGCGGGAGCCAGCTCGTGGGAATTCCAGTACCACTGATGATTCAACATTCTCTAAACCAAGCATAGCTAGCGTGGCAAGGTTATGTTACGCAAGGTCATGCCACGCCCTGTCGCAATCCATTGGCGGTTACCCAGCAAGACCTAGGTAGATCACAAAGAGACTTACTACTAACGAACGTCCCCGACGCAGCACAGTTATGCTAATGGGACAGGAGACTTCCATAGAGCCAAAGATTCGACATCGCGGATGGGCTGGCTTCGCACCATGCGACCGTATACAGCTTCTCTACCTGCAAGTTCACTTTCGTCTCTTTGCTAGTCTCGCTAACGTTACGCATAGTCAGTCTCTCACGCGCCCTCCTGCCTTAGTTGGCGAGTGGGAAACCATCCTCAACTCATCCTTGATATTGATGCTCAGAATGAGCCTCATCCTTCCTTCATGCGCTCTCGTTTATCTGCGACGCCCTTTTGAGGTATACATCATCAAGGCGTAGGGAGAAAACAGCGAGTTAGCCACACCCTTGAAAAGGCCTGCCGATTACATGGAACATCATTTTCGCAAGCTGCGTTGTCGTTCGTATCTCTACGATAAACACTGGCTAGAAAGCGCTTGTGTCTTGACTCTCCGAAAGCACTTAGACTACTTAGAAGTGGCCGCATGTGTTCAAAACTTGAACAATAGAGGCATATGAGTCTGAGAAGAGCGCACAATGATGCTCTTGTTGACTGGATCTATCCTTGACTGAGTGAGGGCTACGGAAACGGGAAGAGTTATGTCAGCAGCCCACAACGTTTGGGTGAATGTATTGAGATGTTCACTATTTTACATTCTGGGGGATTCAAGATGAACTGCAACTGGCGACCAATGCGAACAGAGTTCGGTGAGGGAGGCGTAGCTATGGCATCGAAACGTGTCGATACGCGTTGCTGTTATGCTTTCCAGTCCGTCAGGCAAGTAACGTGTGAAAAAGCTGGACAACGTGCCATGCAGCCAGAAATTTTCATGGACAGCTGCATGGCCCTGTCGAAATTCTTTCGCATGATTCCTAGGATAGGGGGGATCGGTGTAGCCACTTCTTCGGCACGGAGGTAAGTATGTACTCAAGCTGTGGGTAAAAATTGGTGAGCCTCGACTGATTTAGTCATAATAGTCCTGACTGTTTGTAACACAGCTACTGCTAACGCCTGCCCGTTTCCCCTCCGCGATGTTACGATTATTAGTGTGGGTTGTTCACATGGGAACACAACAGCATGGAAACGCGTGAACCGTACTGTGACCTAGCAATCAATCACTCCCGGTGGTGAGAGTTAAAAAGACGAATCGGTGACTCTTGTTCTCCCACGTCTTTACGTCTTTTTCGTTCTACGTACTTTAGACACCGAGTACGCCAAGCACTTGATTGCCCACCCTCTCTTGAAATGGCAAAATCAACCCCCCCGAAAGACCGTTTCCGGCCGTATCATGTAGGACGTGGGGGCGCCGGCAACGTTGTGCGACCGGAAAGCCGGCACCGCAGTACTGAAAAGAGCATTGCGCCCACTGGTTCCCGGCCTAGGGCCGAAAGCGTACAGCAAAAGCTTCGGCGGTTGTTCAAAACACTAGTTAAGCATATGACACCGTTACGCAGCTGTGCGCGTCTACGCAGCAGAATAGATGCGAGGGGCATGGCGAAATGCTTGCCGAAAGCCAACCTGATCGAGAAAGTAAGTATTCTTTGGTTGCTAAGCGTGTGTCCAGGATAGTTGGCGATCAGATAATAACCCCGCTAACAGGCCAAGACATCCCACTCCCACCATAACACTGTGTTGACAATTTCGGCTTCACGCATTCTGACATCACTACGGCCAGAATGATCCACCAAGGCATTCTTACAGGCTACCTCAGATCGCATGATATGCCATTAGATCCTCCGTGTTTTACGCGAGGTGGTGGACGATGTATATTTCTTGTTTCACAGGTGGCTGAACTGTTCACTTTCGTTACCGTCCTCAATAAGGTCCGATATACCCTTCTATGTACCAGGCAATTTCCACATCCGAGCACAGACCACAGTGAGATCTAGAAACAAGACCAATACCAGCCGGCCACGAGTGGACCTTTCGGTAGGCCAGATGGGGCCATCCGGTAATCAGCGAATCGGATCATGCCCATATTGTCCGTTTGCCAACAGCCAGTTAGATCGTGTGTTGCCAACGTCAACCGCTCGGTACTCGACCTGTGCATCGTCCGCCCTGCGGCACATTTGCAGGGCGCAGAAATCCCTTCAAGAGCATCACTCCGTCCATCCCAGGCGAAAATGACGTGCGTTGCAATGAGACTAGGCGGGCCCAAATATGCACAGTCGCCAGTTTGCGCGTTCTCGCGAAAAGACATTAGCTTTTTGTGTCCCTTCAAAGCAACGCAAACTCTACATGGAAGGAGGGGTCAAATCGCGATAAAAGGGACAACATGAGCTTTCTCTTACTCACGGCCCTCCGCGTGGTTCCCGAGGGCAGGATAGTTTGTCTCGTTTTCTTTTGTTGCATGTCCGTAGAATGCCGCTTAGTCGGTATTCTTTCGATAGACAGCGAGCGGCTGTGCTGTCATGCACTTCTCGATATGATGGCCACCAAATTGCTCCACGAAACCAGCCTGCTGATGATGATGCTTCAGCCATCTCCGGCCGCTATACGACCTGTATGCTTTTGACATGGAGTTGCTCACCAGCTCGCCTTGGTTTATCCTGGCTTAGCTGGAAACTTTGCATCACGAAGATGAGGGAGAATTCTGCTCTAATCAATTACCGCCGGAACTAGGTTGCCATGTAGCGGAAAAGCAGTAGGACTGGCTAAGTCCTTTGCAATGTTCGGTCTACTAAGGCAGAAATGATACAAGCTAGCTCACATTGCCTGATCACACATACTTGATATCGCGACAATTTCGTCGTCTTGTGAATATTCAACATCGTGAGATGTGTATCAGCTGCAAGTGGCGCTGCTGTTGTTTCACCTCCACCCCCACAGATATGATAACCCTTAGGCCGCCCCTGGTTCAATGGCCGTACCCATATAATACCCTCTTGTGCAGTTTCACCGCATGAACGATATCTAGCGAGGTGATCGTCCGACGGTTTGCATGATCGCAATACATGACTGCACTGCGGATGATATTCTCCAGGAATGACTTCATCGCGGCGCGTGCTTCATCGTAGACATCTCCAAATATTGGTCAGTGCCATTCTAGAGGGTATAATAGAAAGACTTATCACAAACCGTAACTGATACGCTTCACGCCACCGCGACGAGCTAATCGACGTATGTCTGGCTTGCTGATACGTCTGATGTTATCCTTGAAGCTTTTCTTTTCGCGTTTAGCGCCGAACTTGCCGAACTTGTAACGAGACACAGGGTTAGCATAGGTTGAAGGCTTATTCATCTTGGTTTGTGAGCTGGTAGTGCCCTAGACGACCATCCTTCTTATATCTTGGTCATTACTGATTGAGTGAGGGAGTTTCGTCACATCGTCCCTCTGTGTCATACAATGTTGCTCATGGTCTGACGCCGTGAGCGAGCTTGAGGGCAGCCGCAATGATAGCATTACTTGTATCAAAGCACATCTTACCACCCGTTGAATTGAGTGAATGGCCGATATTGACACTCATCTGTAGTCGGGCAAAAAGGAATGATGTCTCATTCCTTACAATCTAGCAAGGATTCTCGTGATATCATGGGGCAGGTTCTATAATGTGACTTAGCCGACGAGCAACCTAGACTTGCCTTTTGACCTAAATCAGAAACTTTGCACGTGGCATATCACTAGATTAGGCCGCAGACTTTACTCTTCGGATGCTATTTATGTTATCCCTTGAGCGCAACCTAGGACTTTTCATGGGCTTTGAGCTACTAAAGCATTGCTATATCATATTCATACGCCAGATTCTGTGTAACAAGAATGAGGTCATAGCTCAGGACCTGTAAAATAGCTATACAAATATAGAAATTTCTTTCTCGATTGGCGGCGGACGAACTTCCTCGCTAATGCGGCTCGAGTATTGTATTGGTCCTTTGGCGATGATTCGATAATATTTACGTGAGCTTCGGGTTCAAAGTAGGTAGTTACAGATTATGCAATAATAGTAAAGACCACCTATGCAAGCTTGACGTAAAGGTTTGTAAAGGCAAACAAAGGCCAGCCTCTTCATAGGTTGACAAACTGCTACAATCGGGCCGAGGGAATTTTTGTTCAAGAAGGGGCGAGATTTAGTATGAGTTACTCACTCGCCTATCCTTAAGTGTTGTTCAAGTACGTAATGTCAAGAGCATAACTAAAGAAGAAGATGTTCATGGTTGTCACGGACGATTCTTGATAACATCACCGATATGTGATGAATGTAGCTTGAGATTGCTCATTGAACTTGCCAGTATAGACCTTACCTACGTGTAATACTGATGCACGCACTTGACCAGTCACAGTCCATAAAGAGCTAACGGAATACCGTGCTCAAAGAAACCATCTGGTGGGTTTTACGTCATTTGAGTGAGAGTTGATTAGCACTGAGACAATATCGTAATTCAATTGGAAACTAGATTGCCGGAGTTGGCTTGGTTAAACCCGGTTGTGAGAGACTCGAACACCGCCAATAATTACAATATTTATTGCTTTACCATATACGATATTCTTTGTAAACTACATCGCAAACCACCGTCTGTAGAATATCGCGGCTTCAACGATCTCGATCCGCTTAGAATTGACGCCGTATTCATCATTGTAGAAGGGATGAAGCTCTATCTGAAAGAAGGCAGACCTCAGTACCGAGACGCGCCCCGGCGGTGTCTGCGCAAGATACGTTGGCGAGCAAAGGAGTATGGTCTTGTTCAAGAAATTGTGGCAACAAAAGATCAGAGGGCGTTTGAGAAACGGACCGGCCAGCGAAAGCGGCCGTCAAAGCAGGAGTTCGAAGTCTCTGGCCACAACGTGCTCATGCTGAAAGTCGCAGTCGTACCGACCGCCTCCGGACTGGTCGACTTCTCCGTGAGGTCTCTAACTTGTAGCCCTCATTCCTACAACCACTTGAAAGCCTACTCCATACGTCTAGGGTGGCCAAAATCTGCCACTTCAATCAAGCAGTCGGCGAGGCGGCCGCTCGTCCTCGGACGATTTGAGGACAATGGCCGTTTCCGCTGCCGAGTTCAGCGGTATGACACCAACGGCAACTCTCTATCAGATGAACACAAGCACCAAGGCTCTCTTAATATCCTTCCTGGCGATATCGACCTTATCCACTCCTTCAGCAAGCATTCTCACAACTTACCAGGGGCAGTTTCACAGATGCTGATGAGGCAGGAAAGACGCTTCTACCACTTGTTCTATCCCTATCGGGGCATTCGAAATACCTGGGAATGAGTGGTCGCAAGACTCTAAAGCAACTTTTCGGAAACAACACACAGAGTACAGTCTGCCGACCTCAATCGCCATATCAGACAACCCGTCGCTTGAAGAGTGTTCCGGTGAAGACATTGTAGACTTGCTGTTTAGTTAGATAACTTAACGGATTCTACAAAGACACATTTATCAGATTTGATCATAGTCGTGTTAGGAATCAGACGGCTAATTAGTTCCAGGGAGTTGTTACTGATTGACAAGGTGGTGAGATCAGGATTGGGGTGGCACTCAAAACGCTGAATTCCCCATCTCAGGCTCTAGTGAATGCTATTATTATACGCAGAACAGTTTGGCCTAGGGCGAAAAAATAAAGCTAGGTGCGATTAATAGTCCTCAAGCTCTTATATCGGGTTGATAAAAAGACATGACAAACCTCAATAGCTGATCTGTTGTGTTCTATTCCCTTCAACAAATCACTAAATATGCTAGACAGTCTGAGAAAGCTTCTATTTTGCTCGGTATTCTTCTAACTCTTCACAGCCATATCCGCAACGAGGGTCACTTTCGCCCTCGTTCT